ATCAATGCATTTACCTGCTTCACAGGTAAACATATCCTTAAAAAAATATAAAATAAAATAAAGACGTTTGTGCTCACTGGAAACATGGAGTTAAAAATAACTTTGTAGCCTACATAATCCACTTGCACATATTGAATGTTTAAGGGAATATTTTATATTTTAAAATATCACTGAAGTACATCCATTATTATTTTTTATTTATATATTATTTATTATATTATACATTCATCGTTATTATTATTATTAATAATAAGAATTCTTTCCTTTCACATAACCCTGCATGATCTTGACAAAACAAAATGTAACAAAAGCTATATCTAAGCTCAGTATATACTGCTGCAAGATGGCTGAGTGAATTGGTTTTTACTTTTATCAGGTACTCACTCCAGCCATTATGTTTTACAAATCAGCGTCCGACACTTGAGAAAGAGGCAACAAGTTTATCGTCATTCACATGTCGTCAATTCCATTCCCTGCCAACTTGTGTGACAGGACGTCTGCATGGTTATAGAGCGATGCTTGACAGAAGCCGATTAAACGCTTTGCGGCTGCCCAGAGAAATCATGACTCATGCACCGTACCTTTTTTCTCTCTCTTGTAAGAGAAAATAAAACCACTTTTGTTATGCTGAGATCACAAGAAAATGTAGTCGGGATCATGAACAAAACATAACTAAAGAGTTTGGGATTTTGTAGAAGATGTCTCAAGGCCAGTGATATACATAAAGCAGACACATCGTTCACAGAGCCGCTGGTGTTGTTTTATATCGATTTGTCCTTCAATAAATGCTTTTTAACCAAAGCAGCTTACTGCACATGTTGAAGTAGCTCTTACTCTGCAGCTCTTGGCTGGGCTGTCATTCCCAATTCAACATGAATGGTTCACCAGTCATCCGCCTGTCAGTCAAGACATAATGTTTTTAATGCATGGTGTACAGCTATTTTAAGCTCAGTATCTTCCTCTGGGTAAAATATATCTGTAGAGACTCCAAGTCAGCTGTGAATATAGCTTCAAAAATATTGTTTACATTTACATTCCCGGCTGCTTTCTTACCATAGCAACTTTCATGTTTTCAATTATTTAAACTGGTAGCATGATGTAACAAGTGCAAAAACAAATTTTTGTCTAATTTACACTTTTTGTCTAATTTATGTAATTTTTACAATATTTTTGTAAGCTCTGCAAAAAATATCTATACACCCTTTAAAACATGACACATTTACCTGAATTTAACTATGAATCTAGATATTAAGATTTTTTCCAGATAATTTACATTTGAATATGGATGTATTTTGTCTTGTTCCATAGATGACATACTTCTTTTGATACAAACGAGGCTATGAGAATTTTTTATCATTATTATTATTATTATTTGTTTTACATAAATATATTTTACATCCATCATACAACCATACAAGAACCAAACCAAACAAATCACAATAGCTAATGTCTGTCCTCTTGGGCATTAGGTCAGGTAAGACAGGGACATTTTGGGACTGTCTGGCATTAATCCAGCATTGTCATTAGAAAGCTGATAATGCTGCTGTGAGTGACTCATCTCTCAGTCTTCATGATGACACCCCTGATACAGCTGCTTCTATGTCTCATCAGGAACCAATTGACCTAGAGAACATTTTGACTTTTTTTAATTCAGTTTTTGACCTGACATAGTGCTGAATAGTATAATCTGCTTTCTTTATGGCATGAAGCATGTTTATGAAGCATTTTTAGATTCAATACAAATTCATGACTTTTGGTGTGTAACTCCAGCCTACAATAAATTATTTTAGAAACTTTTTTTTAAAGAAATTATTATTTTTCGACTGGTTATAAGAAGCTTCACTAATTGTATTATTTATAACAAATAATGGATTTAGTAATTAAAATATGTAATTATTAATATTATTATTATTTGGCTTTATTTATTTATTTCTAATAGACATTTTTACTCTGTATATCTATAAAATGTATCTATAAAATGTATCTTGTTCCATTGACAGATTTTTTCCCCCACTTTAACTCATAAACCTCACTAAATTAATTTTATTTATCATTTTCTAACATCCATTTTTGCACTGATCATTTATAATAAATGTGGTAATGAGTCAAGTTGTGAATTAAACAGATTAGAAAGGTTTTGTACTGGTGCGTTTTTAATTTTTACCTCATGATGATATGAGCTCATGAACTGTTCTGCACACATGTACTGTTTACACCCATATTGTTTATGGTACAGCGCGGTGCAGTACATCCGTCCTATAAACATAACGTGTGTCAGATTGTATGGTCTATTTTCTGACACTCCCTGTTATGGGTTTGAGTGATTGCACTGAAAGGGTAAGTAGATCCACATTATCAAGTGCATCTGGTCTTGAGGGCTGTCTCCAGGCCAGACAGGTCCCAGACACAGGGTCCTCTAATCTCCACCGTGGCTCTCTATCAGCCATCTTCATTCTCAAGCCTTTGAATGAACCGCTGTCCCCCAACCTGCTTTGGTTATGTCATCGGAGGCCATGCGTTTCACATGACGGAGGTGCTGATGTCTTATTAATCATGAACCGTTAAGCCGGAGCCAAGTTTCCTGTATTTATACACATTACTGCAGGATAAAAGGTTGCCTAGGGGCCAGTGATAAGCTTGTTGTAGATTGATGTATGAACTGAACGGGTCGTTTGTGATTAAATGAGTTAGCTGCTACTTTTAGCTTCAGAAGTCTTTCTGAATGTCTCTTTTGTTACGTAAGGCAGCGGGATCAATTGTGGACCAGAGAATCATCCAGAAAGGTTATTAGAGGAGGGGGGATGGTGCCCCTGCCATCAGCAGTTAGTGTTACTGGTGTGATCGTCTGAGTGGGTGTACGTGAGCAGATCATATTAAATGGGAACCCGAACGGATCTCTTCCCTGTTTACTCACCCGGGTGTGCGCCCCTGGGATGGCCACAGGAACAAAAACATGGGCTTTGCCTCGGTGTGCATTAATGAAGGTATCACTGTAAAGCTATCACTGTATTTTTACTGTGACACAGAAGAAGCTTTGTGAAAAACTGAGCCTTTGCTAAGCCGAGCCAATCCTTGTAAATGTTTCCATACATAATTTTTTTTTTTCAAGCTTTTTCCTTTTCTAACTATTTTCTTTTGGTATTTTATATATGGCGATATGTGTGTCTAACGAGCCAATCCTTGTAAATGTTTCCATACATAATTTTTTTTTTTTCAAGCTTTTTCCTTTTCTAACTATTTTCTTTTGGTATTTTATATATGGCGATATGTGTGTCTATAGTCGATAATAGATGTATAGTTTTGAATTAGTTAAAAATAAATAGTTCTCAATTTTGTGAAATGTATACAATGCCGTTGCTGGGTCACATAAAATAATGACATTCATTGAAAAGTTAGGTACAATGTATAGTGTATATATAACAATACCTAAAATTATTATTATTTTTCTTCTTATTAAAATAACTTTTTTTTTACTTTAATATTTTAAATTTCATTTTTTTCCTGTGATAGCAAAGCTGAATTTTCAGCAGCCATTACTCCAGTCTTCATTGTCACCTGATCCTTCAGAAATCATTCTAATATGGTGATTCGGTGCTCAATAAACAGCATTTGTTTGAAATAGAGATCTTTTGTAGCATTATAAATGTCTTTGCTGTCACATTTGATCAATTTAATGTGTCCTTGCTGAATAAAAGTATCTTACTACCCCCAATTATTTGTTCCGGAAATCTTGTTTTGTGTTAGTCCTGTTCAGCAATGAGTGTAAATATCACACAGACCCAAAAATGATTTGTATTAACCTCAAAACTAACCTTAAATATTGTAAATTGTAAAATGTAGCTCACAAAGTAAAATGATGACAGACTATGAATGAATATGTTTGGGCGAATATGTTTTTTGTCTTTATACGTGCTTGTTTATTTATGAGATTATACCATGACCCACACATACAGTACTGAGCTTTTTTGGCAGCATTACCACATTTCCACGCCAGCTCACGACTACCCAGAATCACGCTTCCCAGCATGCACCTGATGGACACTGCTCACTACAGACATCCCTGCCCTCTTTTCCTTCCTGCGCCGGCACCTCCCTCTCATACCACTCGCTGTCCTCTTGACTTTTATCCCAACAGTACCTCATTTAATGCCATCCCGTCTGTAATGACTCGACATTTCCCTTCACTCAGCAGCCAGGGTTGGTTTTCCACAGGCACAGTTTCCCCTCAATTTGGGTTTCCCAACAGGGATGCTCAGTTTAGTTGAAAAACACTGTGTTGTTTGCATTGAAAGGGTCACAGTATTCACAGACCTGACCGTTACCTAGTGCCCTGCACATGAGAGTTGTCTGCCAGTTTTTCTATGTGTCCACAAATACAGTTCTGAGAGGTCGTAGACAAGGTGAAACTACCCAGTTGTTTTTGTTTGATAAGGTTTTGCACTGTTCCTGAAGTGTACATTGGCCCTTGGACTTGGATTATGTCTTGTCACACCAAAAAGGTCCCAGTTGGAAAAGGTCCCTGTAAATAGGAAACTAGATTCTAAGGTCAGCAGTCAGAATATATAATCACATAAAATATTTACTGTCTATCATGTGTTGTGTCCAAATGTCTTGAAATTATGAAATTATCATTTTGGAAAAAAGCAAGATTTAAAGAAAATGTAATGTGATTAGTATGCATTGGTTTTAACTATTTTTATGAAGCTGTCTGCACTGCTTAAACACTCAGTAGGCACACACAGAATGATTTAAACTGTTGCTCTTTACAACTGCCCATTCTGCAGTGTGATGTAACAGTCAGCTCTTCAAATATTTATCAATAATATTATAAGTATAAATGATTTAGGAACAGTCTTAGACATTTGAGATGCTCGTCTGGGACTCGGTGCTAGAACTGAATGCTGAGAGTCATCTGAATGTGTGTTTTCTGCTGAGTGTGTACCGGGTGTATGAGGACTTCAGGGCCTCTGCAGATGTATCTGTCACTTTGTGTTTTTCAGATTTGTTTCTTGGTGTCTGCATTCCGGGGACGTATGTTCTCAGAGGACAGTTGTGCTGCTCTTGGCCTTTTCTTCCATTACTTCCACCTCAGCCAGTTCAGCTGGATGCTCATACAGGTAAAACTTAACTTTTTCCATCTACTGTGTGGTCATTGTAGCAGGTTTTTTCGTATAGACCACATCAAAATACTTAATCCTGCTTCATTAATGAAATTCAGCTGAGATAGGGTCCTTAATTCATGATTATGTGAAGATAATTCTTAACTTCTTAAAGGCATAGAGTTCACTTAAAAATGAAAAATCTGTTAAAATGTTGTTTCATACCTCTTTTGGAACACAAAAGAAGATATTTTGAGAAATGTTGGTAACCAAACAGTTGCTAGTGGTCATTGACAAAAAAAATAAATACTATGGAAGTCAATGGCTACCAGCAACTGTCTGGTTACCAACATTCTTCAAAATACTTTCTTTCCTGGTCAGCAAAGGTTTGGAACAACATGGGGGTGAGTAAATGATGACAAAACTCTTATTTTGGGATGAACCCTTTTACGCAATTGAAGTTGAAATCAGGAAGTTCTCAGAGTAAAGGTTTTACAACAGGTCAGTTGAAGGTGTGGCATAAACTTTCATTTGAACAATAAGCTTACTTACGAGGAGGGTAAAAAAGAAATTTCACAATATTTTTTTTCAATCACACACCTTCATTTTCATTGTTTAGTATATAGTGTTTGGTATATATTGCCCTCAGACAATAGACTGCCTGAAAAAGGTTTTACCCTCAAGAAACAAACCCTCAAAACTCTAGAAGTTAATCTGAAACATAGTTTTGTTGGTTTCTCTGATGTGTATTTTTAAGTGTGATTAATGCATAAACCAGGGTTCGTACGGTCATGAAAACCTGGAAAAGTCATGGAATTTTAAAACACCAATTTCCAGGCCTGGAAAAGTTTTGGAAAAATAAATAAACCCAGAAAGTTTTGGAAAAGTCATTGAAATCTATTTCACAAAACTCTGTATAATAGAATTGTGTTTAATCAGGTCCTGAATTTCGGTGCGAGATTGCGCATAGGCTATATCGCATAGTTTTACTCATTCCCGCAGCTTTTGACTTTCAAATTATGGATATTCACACATTTATTCAATAGCCTATAGCATGTAGGTTTGATGAGTAAATTATCAAACCTACAGACTGAGTCCAGTCCACACAGACTGATCAAATCAGTCATTTGAAAACAGCGTGAGTGATTCAGCTGTACGCGTCTTCTCTCTTTGACTTTCTCTTCAAACGGCTTCACATCGGCGCATCTTGTCTGCGCTACAAGAGCCGCTGCACGCTGCGATACAAGACTTTCACTCGCATTTCGGGACAGAATTGTCACTTGCCTAATCGGGTCATTGTTGCATCATCAGAAAATTGTATTATTTATTTGCACGTCTTTTTAAGCCATTCGGCACTCGCGCGCTCCAGAGGCGGTGCGCAGTTACATCCAAAGTGCGCTCGTGCGTATATAAAGCCACCTTGCCAGTACCAAATTGAGTTTGCTACCAAATAAACTCAGCAGAACCCTGCACGGGCCTCAAACATATCCGTCATTTGCGTCATTGAGGAGAACAAGATAATCCCACTATGTGAGCAAAACAGCCTTTGATTTCAAGAAGTTTAATTTAGGTGAGAGGTTCCTCCAACATTTGGAACAAATAATTGGGGGTAGTAAGATACTTTTATTCAGCAAGGACACATTAAATTTGCATAGTCCGGCCCTTATCCGACAGATTATCAGAATTACTGGCCGAGTCCGACTGGAGCCTGTGTCTTTTTTCTCGTTCTCTCTTCCCCAATTACACAGCTGCTGTTGTAGCCATTAAAATAGTTCAGTTTCGTTTTTAATGGCAAAAGTGGTTATATATATTTTCGTTTCTTTATTACGTTAATTTAGAAATATGTTTGGAAAATGTTTTTGTTTGTTAAATTCAAGTTTTTGTTTTTTTAAAGTAACGACCAAGCGGCCAGTGGCAGACAGTGAGTTAATCATAGCCTATGTTTGATCAATTTAGCCTTCTCAAATCATCACCACTTGACTAAAATAAAATCTATAGGCCTATATAAAATGCTTTAAAAAACAATGTTAGTTTAAATGGTTAACCTAGATAAATGTGTGCTATTAGGCGCGTATCCAATCGTTTGTGCAGAGAAGCTAAAGTGCGCTTTGCAGGACATCACGATCACTTGCATTTTTTTCTTATAACAGTGGAAACAACCATCATTTTTGCTCATAAAGGTAAGAGTAATACATCATTCGGGACTGTTAAGGGTCTACTTTTATTTGTGTGCACTCACAATATCAGCATACGTTGTGCTTTTTTAGAAAACAAACAGTCAAAAGTTATGGAAAAGTCATGGAAATGTATTGGTAAAAATGTGTACGAACCCTGATAAACTTGTAAGAGCTTGTAAGAATCCAACAAATATCAAAGGCCTTTTTGGTTTTGACTTGTTGCTGAAAATGAGAGAATGTTTGCACATAAATATCACACCATGAACAGGAAGCTTGTATCAAAAGGTTATCTTACTATCTTAAAAAGTATCTTTTTATAGTGTGTGTGTGTGTGTGTGTGTGTGTGGTGTGTGGTCGGTCCAGGTATTCCCTACATTATGGGGATCAAATGTCCCCACAAGTATAGTAAATATTTTTGTTTACATTTCTGACATTTTTGACATTGTAGGGACAAAATTTCAGTCCCCATGAAGAAAACAGTTATAAATCACATACTTTTTTTTAATTGCAAAAATGATTTGTGTGAGGGTCAGGTTTAGGGGTAGGGTTAAGCTTAGTCTTGTTCTTTACATAAATGTTTGATCATCATAACTTTTCTCTGTTGGCTCAGGAATGAGCCTGATTCAGTAGTTCAATCTGTTAAGAAACACATGATTTACATTACGTGCTGCATGACATGTTCCAGCTATGTGTGATTCATTTAATTTTAGATTTTGCAGGCAGGTGTTCTAGCACGCCTGCAATAGCTGTTCAGAGACCTTTTGAAAATCCATCCTATAAATCTTGCTGGACCTGTACCCTTTTGCCTGCTCCTTTCCTTTGTATGGTAATCCCTTCTAACCACAGAAACCTGTCTCTGAAAGTCAACTCACTCAAAGCTATGAAGGTCGTCTTGTTCCCCGAAAGCAAAAACAGGATTTGGTCCTAACATGCTTAATGAAATGAAAAAAGAACATGGCTTTTAATCCCTCAAAGACCCACACAGAACACAAACATCTGAATTAATGTTGCATTGGATTTCTCCCTTTAGTTTGAAAAGGCATAGGACCAAGCACTGACCCTGGAGGAACCTCTCACCTAAATTAAACTTCTTGAAATCAAAGGCTGTTTTGCTCACATAGTGGGATTATCTTGTTCTCCTCAATGACGCTAAAAAACACCAGGGGCTTAGCAGTTTACATAGAGCATGTAATCTCTATTGGCACTTGATGCACTAGTGTTGAAAGATTATGCAAGAGAACATGAAATAAACTAACTAGCTAATTACAAAAATTGGTTTTAGGAGGATGGAGCCATCAGTAGTGGAAGGGCCAAAGTGTAAAGTATGTATGACACAATGTTTATGTAAGTGTGTTGATGTGCAAAAGTGGGTGTGAGTTTATGAAGACACATGGAATAAATCACACAAAAATTGTCTTTGATGGAAAAGGTAAATCATGATTCAGACTGGAAAGTATTTGCATCCTGGAGAGATTGATTTGAACATGTGCTTGTCTTTATTTCAAAACAGTCTCAAAACCGCTGACAAATGAGCCTGTAATAAAACTTTGCATAACGTATGTGATGTGATAATGGATGTGAAAAAAATGTTTCGTTTGCACTTTTCTCATTGTTTAATTTCTTTGAGCCTTCGGTATAAAATTTCAGCTGCATCTTATTCAATAACCACCCACAATACAGTTTAAATAGAAGATACATCCAAGTTTGTCAGATTATGATAGTCTGACCATGTAGAACTCAGAACCAACCTGCATGATGCGAAACTGCACAGTACAAATTGCGTTAACCACAGATTTTGTTTGTGCGCTGGTACCTGATTTGAACAATTCCTTGAGAGAATCTGGGGCTAAAGCAATGTGAGTTTTGTCTTTGTTTGCTTAAGACTGGAATACACTACACAGATTTTAAAATCCGAACAGCTTTTAAAACACCTAACGTCATACACTTAACGACTTTGTTAATGGTTTCAGAGAAAAACTGGTCATCATACACTAAACAACTGAAGATCACACACTAACCAGCCTTTCAAGCTGTTCCGAACACAGCAAACTCGCACAGAAACACAGCCTCATTGCTAGAAGACAATACAAAAATATGCGTTCTAAAATTTGCTCAAATTATCAAATATGTTCTATGTCTTCCGACTAAATAAAAGAAACTGACCATTTGCCCATAATTCACTACATGATTTGTCAACTCTGACTGTTTGAAATCTGCAGACTAACTTTCGGTAACTGCGGTTGAGTTCTTCAGACTGCAAATATGAGCAAAAGTCACCAGCCTTCAATGGAAATAGTGCAGATGTTCCACGCCTACCTTAAAAGGGCACTGAAAAAAAATACACTTTATCAATGAAAACTATTGATCTAAGAGTTCTTTCCTATGCATTGGGACTCGTGTTTCAGCCTGTGCTAAAATAGCCATTCAATAGATCCCAGAGACTCCCTGTCCTGGCACGGTTGAAGCGACGGATCAATGGAAGTTGCATAACAGGGTAATCTCGATGGCGGGGTGCCAACCTCTTCCATAATTACAAAGAGGCTGGAGGGAGATTGCAGAGTGTTTAGACACCCAAAAGCTAACACAACATCCTGCCAGCTTCTGTTATCTCTTCATCCCTTATCCAAGTTCCCAGCACAGCAAAACAGAGCTGCTGCAGTTCCTATCCATTTATGGTGCTAATACTGATGGATGAAGTTGCCACATCAGGACTTGATTTTGATGTTGATTTTAAACTCTCTGTTGAAGTACCTCGTCACCAAAAGTGAAGTAGGCTAACTGAACGTATAGACCAAGAAAGTATTAGTTCTTAATAGCACTAATAGCTGATGTTGCAATGAATTAGATATGAGGTCATATAACCAACAGATGTCCATTTGCTAGTTGGTTCTTGCTGCCTAGTCTTATCAAAACATTAATCAGCTATCCTTTTTTATGAATCTGGTTTGTTTATGATGTTTCCATTTATTTATTTAGTAACATTTGTGTTGTCTTTCCCAGGCCATAAACTTCTGGCAGATATTGGTGATTAATGATGAGCACACAGAGAGACGCTACCTTCTCTATTTCCTGCTCAGCTGGGGACTTCCTGCTCTGGTCATCATCATTCTGGTTGTAGTCCTGCTGGGAGGCTTTGGATGGAGCATTCATAGTGTGTATGGCCTGGTGCAAGGAGATCTGTGAGTTTGTGAATATGTGCTGTCTCTCTCACACACACACACACACACATGCTACATTTACTTAACTAAATGAGGACATACCGTAGTAAAACTATTTATAATTATAAATACAGTTGAGTAGGGATGTTAAAAGTACTGGTACTTTTCACATCCCTAAATGTCTCTAAAGGAAGGTTGGGTCATATTCAGGTAACTTCCGGGAACAAGGAACAAGACTATGTCCAAGTAAATACTCACTAGAAAAACATGGAAGTAACTGTACATAGAAATGCCTTTACTGACAAGGTTTTATTTATTTTATTTATTTATTTTTTTTAAACACGCATGCACCAGCAAATGTAAATGCTCACATTTTTGTGCTGTTTTTTGGCTCATAGATACTCATTTCCTGTGTTAATGTATTGTAAGCGATTTTCTATCTCATATACACTCTTCTTCTTTGCCCTGTTTACATTGATTGTGTGTGCTCGGGGTTTGTTATTGATAAGTTGAGAAGAGCTGCTATTTTTAGCCCCTCTGTGTGTATGAGGTCACAAGCTGTGACTGTGCATACATTCCGTTTCACCCCATCCCAGCCTGTAGTGATAACAGAAGATTACAGTCTCAAAGCAGCTCTTAGCAAGTAAACTCCCAGTTGACTCATGAAATCCAAACATCTCTCTCTCCAAGAACAAACAAATGATGTCACCTCACCTCACAAGCCACCACAGGTCTCACCTTTTCCCGTACCTTAGGGATTCAGCGGTCTGGGAGGAGTCAAATGCTTGTAGAAATAGAAAAAAAAAAACACGTTAGTTTAAAGGGTAGATTTTAACATGCATTAAACCTCTCTTTATGTGTAAATATAAATTGGTCACATCACATTAGGAAAGGAAAGGAAAGTAAAGGACGTGATGTGTGGCCAAGTATGGTGATCCATATTTGGAATTTGTGCTCTGCATTTCACCCATCCAAGTGCACACACACACACACACACACACACACACACACACACACACACACACACACACACACACACACACACACACACACTGTGAACACACACCCGGAGCAGTTGGTAGCCATATTGCTGCGGCACCTGGGGAGCAGTTGGGGGTTCGGTGCCTTGCTCAATGGTCTCACCTCAGTCATGGTACTGAAGGTGGAAGGAGAGCGCTGGTCATTCACTCCCCCCACCTACAATCCTTGCCAGACCTGAGACTCGAACCCGCAACCTTTGGGTTACAAGTCCGACTCTCTAACCATTAGGCCACGACTGCCCCATCTATTACCATCATACCATGTGTTCTATATAAGCATTACTTGCCAGTCTACAAAAAAAAGATTATTTAGTGAAACTTTATTTTCATGTCATTCATGACTTTTTTACTTCCACAGATCGAGTAGCCAATTAGATTTTATTTTTGTTTTCTGTTTTCATTTTAGTTTGTTTTAGTGATTTTATTATGTGATTTTGTAATTATTATTATTATTATTTATTTTCCTATTTATTATATTCTATATTTTACTCTTTACCATTAGTTTTATTCTTTTTTTTCAACATTTAAATTGAAGTTTTTTCTATATAATATTTATAATTGACTTTATTTAAGCTATATTTCAATGCGCAAAACTGGCTTTTAATAGTTCTAATAGTTTTTAATAGTTTAGTTAACAATAAGAACACAAAAAAACAGTTATTTAAAAAATACATTTATTTATTAATTTATTTTGGTGCAAAAAACTTTTACTAACAATATAAGTGGATAAATGAAATGAGAATAAAACTTTACAGACTGTGACATTTGTAAGGCCCCGTTCAGAATGTGTTTTTGCATTCCTTGTGTTTTCTATGTAAATATGCACTGGGTGAACATGTTTGACTTGTGCTTCTAGTCTCTAGTCTTTTACAGTGTCTATCGCATGACATGTTCTAAGGGTGTATTCACTCCAGGAAAGTTCGCTAGTTCACTTGCTTTGGTCCGAACCAAATACAATGTTGATTTTTTTTTTTTTTTCGGTGTGGTTCGCTTTCACACTGCCCTTTTTGCAAGTGAACCAGAAATTATAAACAAAACCACACGTGTGCTAAGGTCATCCATTCATTGGACAGAAATTCTCAAGCGTACCAGAGTTAGTTTTGAAGAGGACCGAGACCAGCTCTTCAGCTGGGTCTCGGTGCGGTTGTTTGGTCCGCACCCGAGTGCGATTGCTGTATTCACACCTGCCCAAAAGATCCGCACCAAGGGGGGGATACGAACTTGAGTTCGATTAAATCGAACAAAACAAGACAAGTGTGAATGCACCCTACGTCTCTAGATAAAATTCCTGATAATCCTTTAACTAAGAACTGCCGGAGAAGCAGCAGAATTGAAGAGGAATCCACTTGTTGGTTGCTATAGTTACTTTGCAGGTATCACAACTAAAAAAGGGATTCGTGCATACGGACTGAACTACTTGTTTATTTATGATTTCAAAATGTGTTTTTATGTTTGTACGTGACGATATACAGTATGTTATGCTAAACCAGGCCAGTGTTTCAAAATTATGATCAGATGAAATCTAGTGAAAAATGGGCTGCTTATTTTACAAAGCATTTCACATGCTTTGAATTCTATTATGGCTACATTGTGCCATTTCTCCTAGAGTACGGGCTGTGTTTGTCCATTCTGTTTGTCTGGCCAGAGAGATGCCAGGCCTGTGAACAGAATGCAACTGCTGCTTATTTTGATACAGATCACGTCATAACAAGATTACTCTGGATTGAGTTTCCCAAAGCTTTTCCAATTCCGAATACCAGCCAGAGACTTCATACAGGACAAAAACAAATACTGACTGGAAGAAATTCCTCAGATAGAAGGAAAGGAGTCAGAGAAAGACAAAAAAGAGAGAATCTCAGGAGATTAACGTCCTCAGTGTGTCTTTGTGGTCCATTAAGAAAGCATTCAACAAGCTTCGTAAGGACGTCCATCATGTTGTCTCAAACCCATTTTACTTACGTTCTTTCTTCAATGGAATACTAAATATACAAACATGCAACCATAAACCTGAGTAAGAGTCCTTTTTGTGTACTGACAATCTTTTTTTTTTTGTCTTTCTTGTCATCTTTGTAGATGCTTCATACCTAATGTATATGCTGCTCTCTTTACGGCCGCCCTGGTTCCTCTCATTTGTTTGGTGGGGGTGCTGGTGATCTTCATCCATGTGTATCAAGTCACTCAGCAATGGAAGGCTTATGATGATGTCTACCGAGGCCGAACAAACAGCTCAGGTGTGTACGCTTGTGTTATTATACAAAATTATACAAGTTGGGAAATAATTAGCCTCAAGGTATCCTGCCATTTTAGTAGGATAAGAATCTGGCACTGAAATGAACATGTTACAGGAAAACGGTGAACTGATGATAATATCAGAGAAACTGAAAGCAAACTAAGAGAAGGTGCTTTCCCTTGGAAAGTCTCTTGTTCTTAAGCAATCATCAGATTGCTCAGGGCTGTGCTTTCAGGAATATTGCACTGCCTTCCAAACTATTACACGCCTTCCAAAATAATGTTTTTCTTTCTGTGGTGGTTTGCTAGTCATTCCGTTCTTTATAAATGCCCTCAGCAGTTTTGTGTAGATTGTAGATCATCGGATTAAATCTATTGTAACTCGCTGCTGAGTTCTTGAGTAAATGCATGTTGTCTTGTATTTAAACTTGGTTACAGTCTTAACTGGCTGATTGTCACTTTAGTGTTCGCAGCCTCCACCTTAATGTTTAGCCTCAAAATCACCACTGTTTAAAAGTGTAATATCAGCACCTTCCAACTAACATTTGTACAATTAGGATGTAAAACACTGGCTTTCACTTGTTAATCCACCGTGATGGTTTCATTGTTTACCCGTAACTGCTGTTCTGAGCTTTAAATGGTGGTATTGTACAGTGTGCGTGTGGGTGGTCAGCAAAGGTTGCCATGTGCAATGTTGGCTTTCCTCTTTGTGCGCAAGCTTGCTCGCAGCACAGCAGGCTAATCCTAAACCACTCAACTTTATTACAGAGGGCTGCACCGTCAGCCCACCCTTTGCTCGCAAACACAATGAACACACTGTAGAACTCCCACACTTGCTGTTTCATATTGTAGGACACACAGACGCAAGCAAATATATTATGCGGCCAATTTGCTCCTTCATGCCGGATGTGTTTAAAGACTGTCAAAGAAGCACAGACAGATAAATATGCATTTAATACTCACTCTTTCTTGTTAGCACTCAACAGCTTAGATGTTGATTCTGCCTGGTGTGTTACTGCTTGATTACATGTCAGACTAAACATTCAGGACGGGACAGGGATGAAAAAGACACAACGAGTAAATGAACGTTTCCTGGTGGGCCGATCAACTTGTGGGAAACGAAATTTAAATATAGAAGTGAAGAAAGTTCTCTTAAGCTGCTATCTTTCCACCCAAGTGTCTCCTTAACTGCCAGAAAAGGGATGTGAGTTCAGTTCTGTACAGGTCAACTTAATTATCTAAATCAAGTAATTATCAACTAAATGACAAAATGCTTTCAAATGTCTTCAGTTCCTGGTTTATTGAAAATGTAATTTAATTATGCATGGTTCTGAGATCGCTTTGCATTTGTTTATATATATTTTTTCAGATATATCAAACTGTGAAAGCAAATATACTTTATTCGATGACCATTTGCATCTTTAAACATTACAGCAGCTGAAACCAGCTTCCTGTGTTATTATTAGCTGCACGCTGATGGATAATTCTGACTGTGACTTGCTTTTCAGATATTCTGAGGTGCTCTATAAAGTGTCTGGAGTTTTTTTTTTGTCTCTGAAGAACCACTTTAGAGTCAAGATATTAAGGAGTCAACCTTTAGCCGCTAGGCAGAGGTGTTCTTTCTGAGGCCTGTGGGGAGATAATTACCACAGCTCTATTTAAAGATTTAATTTGGCTTTTGTTCAATATGATCTTAAGGGAAGTAGTGCTTTTTCACAATGCAGTCATTTTCTTGGAATAGCCTTATTGGCTCAGGACTAATCCTTCATCTCTCTTAATAAGGTCTTAATCTCTTCATCTCTCTTAATCACATGTTTATGTGATGGAGTATGACTGCAACAGCTTTTGAGGAATACATTATGAATACAGTTCATTATTTTGTATTATTTTTATTTTTTGTAAAACTTTACAATAAGTTAACATTAGCATTATTTATCGTAGTTAATGTAAATTTCAACATTTAATAATACATTAGATTTTTTTTATTAACTGCCATTAACAAAGATACTATTAATAATAATAATAAAATAATAAAAATAAAGAAATATTGTAACAAATGCATTGCTCAGTGTTAGTTAATGCGTCAACCATCCTTAAATAATAGGACCTAACTGTAAAGTGTTGTCGCTTTTTTATGCTAATGCCATTCCTGGACCTAAATATGGTCTGTTGCAATAGTTAGTCATTTTACACTTTCATTAGATATAACTGCAAAGTCCAGCCAAAAACATCTTGCATATTTACTTGTAAACAGTTAATCCAGTTGCTAAGGCTTTTTGAAGAAAAGTAAGACTATTTGAGAACGATAAGATGTCCTAAGTCAAATTAATTGTTTATTGGAACCGATTAAGGGAGCAAGTTTTCATAGTAAACAAAAGGACAGAACTCACAAATGCTTTTTATGAGCTTTTCATGTTGTTGTGCTTGGAACCAGATTTAATCTGGGTTTTACAGTCCTATTTGAGTTTTTTTTCTAGTGAACAAAACAGTCAAAATGGAAGACTTAATATGCTTTCAGTGTTCAGACTCACTGTTTTCTCTGCATTTGTTTAGTAATGACTTGCAATGCAGACCCCTAGGTCCCTAGGTCATGCATAATATTCACCACAATTCATAATTGCATAAAATGTTTACAGCCTGTAGAGTCATAAAAGCAGGGTGTTAGAGTCTAAATCACTGTTTATCACTATCCTATTTCAGTTGCTTCTAAATACTGTGCATTTCACCCTCCTGTATCTCATATCTTTATGACCTTGCTTAACTTCTTATATCACAAACACTATACTACTGTTACATAATGTTCTCAGGATTTGACCCAAAGTCTAGAGTCTGGATCCATTTGTTTTGTTGAAAACAATCATCATAAATTGCCCCGTTAAGTTGAAATACATGTGTCTTATTTGGAAACTGAGCTGAGCTGAAAATGCCAAGCAATGGACTTTTTAGGCAGTACATATACTTCGCATTTAACTGTTGAAAAATACTTTATAAAATGAATAGATTTATAAAATGGATTACTGTAATGCATAGCACCTTATAGCTGGATTTGATGTACGATATTTAAAAATACTGTGTTTTTTTATCTTTCAATTATTTTGTATGTAGAATTTTCTTAAACACAGGCAAATCTCACCTCTGCTTCAATAGTCGCTGGAACTGATGTAGAGTCTGTCCAATCTCTTTTTTTTAATGCAAAAACACTATTCGTTTTCCCTAGAGAGGTCTCAGTTCTCCGAGAACATGCTGTATTGAACGTCTGGTCAGAACGCTGGCGTAAGGCCAGACACGCTCCCCACACCCACAGTTCAGAGGAAGGAGCAGGATGTCCAAATGTCATCCACAAGCACACGTACACACACAAAAGAATATCAAGTGTTTGATTCCAGAGAGCATGTTGATATAGTACTTCCATCTTAAGCCTTTGTTTGTTTCTTCTCTCAAAGTTGTTGGACACCTCTGGTATTCCAACAGATTTACTGGAAGATTTCAGCTGTTCCCGCTCTCTCATTCTTTCATCTCTTTACCAAGATCCCCTTCTTCAACCACCCATTTCTCTTTGAGTTGAAACACTTGGTGATTTTTTTTCTTATCATTGAAGCTGTTGGCCGGGCAGATGTTAGCTCACTCAAGAAGGAGACAAAGGAAGGTCTTTCATCCTCTGAGTTGAACCACGGCTGAATGTTGTGACAGCTGCTTTGGCATCTTAAACAGGAGCCAGAGTGCTGTCTCACATTTGGGCCCTGCTGTTTTTCCACCAGTGGTCCTCAGTGCTTGCCTTCTCATGCAGAGGTTCTTCCCCTCCTAAGAGAAACTCTTTTTTTTCTAGAATGACATTATATTATACATTATATACAGACATTATATTGTCTGTTATACAACAGTTCGTTCTGGTTCTCAAATCTGATTGGTTGAGAACCGTGAGATATTGTACTGGTATCGCTACAGGAACGCCCTTTCACAATTTTGTATCACTCCGCTTGTTCTAGCCGGGTCTGTGTTATTATTTTTATTATTCACTGAGCTAATCATAGAGTACGTTAGTTAATATAAGAAGAAACGTCTAGCTTCACGATCTCTCTCTCTCTCATTTGTATGCACGTCTTGCTGCATTATTTCTCACTAATAACCTAACTGAAGCAGCACATGCCCTTGATACGAATTCTAAAAGTGACGTATGTTTAACTGTCAACTTGAGCTTTGAATCCGTGGCGGAAGGAAGTAGTTCCGCACAAAAGAAGGTTTTATTAGGCACTCCGTTGTTTCTTGTTTAATTACACACGTTCCGTCGAACTGTTGTATAAACGCAATATCACTCTCGTACTCGAGCGATACCGATATTGCTCATTTATATATGTCATTATATATATTAACGGATACCACTTTATCTTTTCATGCCCTGTGTTGTGTATTTATCTCTTGGACCACTATCAGCATTTGACATCATCATTGCAGAAATCTAGACTCTAATTGGTTGACAGGTTTTAATAGATTTTTTTTTTCTTTACTTGCACAGCTAGAAAGTAGTGCATTAAGGGCATTAACTGTGTTTATTGCTTTGCCACATTCTATTCACGTTATAGATTAGTATTTAAGTCTAATAGATAATATACAAGTTTGGGGTCAGTGAGTTTAAAAAAAAAATAATACAATATATATAAAAATATTAAGCAGTACAGCTGTTTTCAACATTGTAACATACTGAGAAATGTTTCTTGAGCAGCAAGTCAGCATATTAAAATGATTTCTGAAGGATCATGTGAGACTGAAGACTGGAGGAATGGCTGCTGGAAATTCAGCTTTGCCATCAAAGAAATAAATTACACTTTAAAATACATTAAAAAATAAAATCAGTTATTTTAAATTGTAATAATATTTCACAAGATTACTGTTCTTACTGTATTTTTGAACACTAGTGTATGTAAAATAGGCCGTAAAGTCAAACAAAGAACATTTTAAAACTTTTAAAGAAAACCTTGTTTAGAAAACCCTTAGAAATTACTTTAATTAGTATAAACTGATGCAATGAGGTTAATTCAGTCGAATTAAACTTATTTTCTGAGTTACTTCAGTTGTGAAATATGAGTGGAAACATCAGAGGTATTGTACATCACTTTGTGTTTAACCCATGGCCTCATGAGAGCCTGGTTTTCACTGAGAGAGGAAGTGCTCTAGCCAGTTCCATTCCAACAGAGCAATGGTTCCTCAGGGTTTGGGAACCTGCTACTTCAGAGGCAGCCAGGCCCAGACCACAGGCTGGAATGTGCTTACAGAGATGGAAAGCAAAGGCAGTCTGAGAGAGGAGAGAGGGAAGGACATGGAGAGAGAACAGTGCGTACAAAGTGACTTACATGCAGAACAATAAATGGGGGGGATTCCTATTTTTGGAAGAACTCTGAATGGAAGTAAAATTTATAAAAATGAAAAAGTGCACCAGTGTGATTTACATTAGATGTAAAAAGAATTAATTACAGTAACAATAAAATGTTTATTTGGGAAATTAACATGAAATAGATTGACATGTCCTAGACCTACTCTAAATCAATTTTAAACAGCATTTTGCTATTTTTTTAAATAATTATGTATGCTTTCACAACCTCATTACCTGATAGATTTCATGTAGTATTAGTACTTTTAAATAAAACTGTTAGAAATATATATTTTTCATTATTTAAACGAACTAGTTAAGATAAAAAGGTGAATAAAAATGATAAATAAAATGGCAACCGGTTACAGGATCTACACTTTCCATTGTGCATTCATGTACTTTTTATGTAATTTTCAAGGATGTAATATTTAGAGGTTTCCCTCTCTGTCTTGGCTGGTTACGGTTCGACTTGTATGCAGTTACACCGTAACATGAACACTGTAAAGTTAACCAAAGTTTCTATGGCAATAGCATCTGTAAATGTAAATAGCAACCAAAACATCATTAAAGTAAATGTAAGATAGTTAAGATAAACACAAACAGCAGGTAAATTTAGACAGGTGGAAGCAATGACCATGGCATTTTTGTGCTAACCTGGTGTTAAACTTCGGCTCTGTGCCATGTGTTGTCTATCAGATGAGGAATGTGTGGCCTACTTTTCATTGTCAAGTCTTTCATAATGTTTGCCTGCTTCTGCTGGCAGGTCTTCTGCTGGCTCGCCCCAGAGATGTGTCCGTCATGTATGACCTATGACTCTTCTCATTTTTGCACTCATGGTGTCATCAGAGCCATATTAACATCGAAGCACTGAATGAAACTCACTGGGACAGCGCTGACACTGAAGGCACAGGACGCCGTGTTCTCAAACAGCAAGTCTTGTCCCTAAAGGAAGCTCGATATTGGATTGGACTGATTCTCTTCACCCTCATTCACTCTAATGAAAGCCAATTATAATCTCATTTGTTGTTTTTCGGCATGCATGCATGGATATCAGCAATGATGCTTGGAGAATTTGAGGATTATTTGAAATCGCTCTTTTGAAGTTGCAGGGTGTTTGCTTGGCTTAATTTTATTAGATGCTGGCATGCCCGAACAAGGCTGCTGGTGCATGCATGATTGTTTTACACCATCGGGGATGCGGTAAGCGCTCCCAGGGAAGCGCTGTGTTGTGGAGGTTAAACCGATGAATATTCTTTTTCCCTAGATGTGGGTTCTGCACATCTGCTGTTTCATCTAATATGTTTAAATCATGTGCTAAAACAAATAAAACTAATATGTTGTCTAATTTCAGCCTCTAATTGTCCATTTGTGGCCATCAAATAAATATGTTAATATATGAATATTCCATTTGTTCACTAAATTTCCTGGTCGCCATCGGATGCATGAGTTGTAAATCAAATAACCGCCGAATGGCTTTATTAAAAAAGAAAATTCACATCCATGTTTATGTTATAAAAGGAGAGCATGATGGATGAGTCAGCCTGTTCTCCATTCTGGAGTCGTACTTGTTTGTTCCCTCATTAAATGTACGAATTATAAAACAGGGTGCTCAGGGGGTCGAGGAGGTGAGTGGATGCAAATAAGGCCTGCTGAAAGAAACAATGACACAGACAGCCTCTCCCTCTCACTAATTATCAGCCACAGCTTTGCCTGGTTGTGTACTTTGACCGACAGTAATCACAAATGCATTGCCGGTGGGCGAGAGGTGTTAGTAGAGCCAAAATAAGTGGTGTTAGGTAACATACGAGAAGTGAAAAGATTCATTAGGGATGGGTGACAGTCAGGGCCATCCTTAGCTGACGCGGGGGCCCGGTGAGAGGTAGGGAGCGGGGCCCCCCTTGGTCCGTTTACGATCGTGTTCCGGGGGGTCCGTTCGCGATTGCGGGTTGCACCAGTTGCACCCCCCTAAGGACAGCCCTGGTGACAGTAATGATTGGTCATGAAAACACAAAATTGCTTTATTTGTTTATTTATTTGTTATAATATTTTCAAACTAATTCAGAAATTTAGAATTTTTCCATCACAGTTTTTTTAATTCACAATTTTTTGTTTCAAATGTACATTTTTATACAATTCAATTTTATTCCTTTTTTTGTGATTTTGGTTACATCATTTTTACTGGAACAGTAGTTGCTGTATTGTGTCATTGCTTATTTGCATAAATGGGTTCATGAGTACTTTATCTATTGAGTATTCAAACCCAAAATTATCCAAATGCAAAACCCTAGTTTTTATGTTCATAATGCCATGACTTTGAGTAAATTATTATTTTACATTGATGCTAGAATGTCAGGTTTGCAACATATTTTTCTTCCAACTTTCTCAAGCTGAATGAATGTTTCAGCAGTTAAACTCAAAACTGTTGTTAAAGTAAAACACTAAGTGTGGTTAAAGTCCTTCTGCCAATATGCTTGAGTGACTCTTGGCACTGAGAGGCATTGTTTGCCCACATGAAGAACACTCATGGGCCAAGTACTTTGTGCCCATGGCTGCCCTCATTTGCTCCAGAACAGTCTCTGGACTGTGTCCTGCTTAAAAGACAACTCATTTGATTCTCTTTCTTTTGTTGTTTTGGTTTGTTTGTTTGTTTGTTTTTATTGGCAGCCATCTTGCACTCCTGCCCCAGGTCAATAAACGTGGCCACATGGCTCTCATGCCAGAGCGAGAGCAGTTCAAAGAGCTCTAGATGCATGTGAAAAGCTTGTCTGAACTATGGAAAAACTGAAGCATGCCTGGCCAGCTCACTCTGGAACTGAAAACAGCACCCATGGCTGCTGGCACCGGTGCATGCAGCACAGATAAAACAGCACAGTCAGCTTCCATGCATTTTTCTAGAAATATATTCACTTCAAATGTTGCCATCTTGCACTTTAGGAAACGTCTTTTTCTTTTCTTTTCTTTTTTCAAATGGGCCTATTTGATCATGCAAACTCAATTGAAGTTAAACTCAATTTCTTTCTGTTTGTTCTTCAGAGGTGCCCATGATGTTGTATCTGTTTGCTCTGGTGACTCTGGTCTGTCTTTGCGCTGGATTGCACATGGCCTACAGATACCTGTGGATGCTGATCCTCCTTGTTATCTTCAACATCTTTGTGGTAAGATTATACACACAATATGATGTAACTTTTGCTTTTATTAAAGTGCTCTCTTTCTTTTTTAAAGCCTTTGTATTTATATATTTAGGGTAGAGTTTATACTAGCTAGTAAGTTTTAGTCAATACCTAATGACACTACATAATAAATATCAATAAGCTGTGATATCAAGGCCACTTTTGTGCTTGCATCTTTCTTTCTTTCTTTCTTTCTTTCTTTCTTTCTTTCTTGCTTTCTTTCTTTCTGTCAAAACTGATCAAAAGTGAAGACATTTATAATGTTGCTGTTCTTTTGAACTTTCAGAAGAACACTTCCATGTTTAAAGCTTCTCATAGCTATGTGAAAATAAGTGTATAATTGGAACAGTTCATTGTTGGAGCTGAGCTGAATGAAAAATGGATATTGTAAATGGCTAGTATATTTCACAATATTACTGTTATACTTTTTAATAAAATGTTTTACTATTTTACTTTTTAATTAAAGGGGACATCAGATGCCCATTTTCCACAAGTTGGTATGATTCTTTAGGGTCTTCATGAAATGTCTTGGACTCCGTATATGGCTCAGAGGTGGTCTTATTCAAATAGCAAGCTATCTACATAGAAACTGGCTGCAAATTGAAACAGCTCACTGGATAACACAGTTATCTTTTTCTTTTCAGCTTTTATGAGCTGGCAGACACGGCAGAAACCTAACAAAATGCAAAAAATAAAAATAAAAAAAGGCTAAAAGCTAAAAAAAAGTGAACATTTCATCCGATGTCCCCTTTAATAAAATGCAGCCTTGGTGAGCACAAGCGGCTTCTTTCAAAAATGTTACAAATACCTTTTTGAATGGTGGTGTATTCATTTAGTTAGTATGGAAATGCAGTTATTGATGACGCTTTTTACAAAACAGAGCAAGTTGTGACTGTGGTTAAATTAAATTATCAATGAGTGCAATCTAATCTTATCTCTAAAGTGTTTTGTCACTGAACTCGGTTCTGACCCCTAAAGTTCTGACCCCTAGAATCATATTCAGTTAGATTTAATGGTCCACAGATTAAAAGCATTAGATAAATCCTAATCCTGAAGATTGATCGGTACAGGTAATCTTCCCATTTGAGGGCCCAGTGGGCTCTTCACCTTTAGTTTAAGACCTGCAAACAGCTGTTTTATCTCTGAATACAGATGTATTACTCTAACAATTACCTCACTATCACTGCAAAACTGGCCAGTGTGCTAATGTGTTGTATAGTTTTTTTCCTGCACTAGATGGATCAAATAAATAGATACTGTAGCCCATTGGTTTCTAAAGGCTCTGCACCTCTTGCATAACATCTTAAAAATAATGGCCAGGCTCTTAAGTGGAGGTGGACTATGTTCAGTCTGTTTTTCAACTGGCATGAAATCACTGATGAAATTTTGCAGTGTTGGTAAATGTGAATGTGTCTTTATGCTGATGGACCTTTTCTGTTAATGAACTTTACACCTTTTAGGCTTTTGTTCCTTGAACAGATGCAGGTGTTTATGCGATTCATGTTCTATTGGTACTCTCTTATTTCGTACTCAGTTTTTTATCTTTATGTAAAAAAATACAACAGCATCATATAGAAGTGCAGTAGATATAGATGATTGATATAGTAAAACGTAGCAAGCAAAATATGGCTTGCAACACAACAATTTACATGGCCTTGTTGTTCAGATAGCCTTTTGTGGCAGTTTCTCTGCACCAAGTTCGAGTAACAAATAACATTTTAACAGTCCAACAATCCTTCCCATCAGCCGAAACTCAGATAAAAACATCCATATCACTGCTTCCTGCCTTCAATATTTCATCACTGATAGTTGATACGGTTGAGCATATTTGTTCTGCTTCTGTGCTGCATGTCCTACATTACAGACTGACTAATAGCAGGTCAGAGAAGCTGTTATTGTTTCTGACAGTCAAAATATGACTGGGTTGGACATGATGCCCTTCACCTAGAAAGAGCATAAATAGCACTTAAATTTGTTTTGACTTCCTTTGAGTCAAACTCCAACATAGAAATGTCAGCAGTGCCTACAACAAAACATGTGGAAGGCCAGTACAGACATCGGTGGACATGTTGATATATGGTTGATACAGTTTTTTCAATTCTCTTATTTCCTGCAAACGCTTCAGTCTGTTTTCAATAATCAAGCCTTGAGCGTCTGTTTTCATGGGTGCTGTTTTTTCCATGATGCTAATTTTCCATGCTCGTCCTTTTATTTCTCAGTGGCTGTTGCCATAAGTGCAGTTAAACTGCAGTACTGTCATTTAAATGGTGCTAGTTCCTGTCTGATTGGGAAGCCTGTAAACAGCTTCATATTAGCCTCTGCTGATTTCAGGATGTAAGGATGTATAATAAAGAAGGTGAAAAAGGTATCAAGGTATATGTCTGCTTGTGTGTATGCAAAGAGAATTACTGCCAAGTGCTAATAAAAAAATGGAATGGAACTGTTCAGATCAGATTTAACATCAACATCAGATCAGATTAATCATTTAATGACGACATGTATTCATTCTTCAGTAGTCAGCAGCTGTATTTATATTGCTACACTACCATTCCGTCAAGTTTGCAGGTTTCCTGGGAAAAATAAATAAATAAATATCACAAAAATATTAAGCAGCACAAATGTTTACTACATTGATAATAAGAAATGCTACTTGAGCACCAAGTCAGAATATTAGAAATATCTCTGAAGAATCATGTGACACTGGAATCTAATCTAAATTTTAAATACATTAAAATAGAAGCATTATTTTAGATCCAATTAAAAAAAAAAAATCGTATTGACCACAAACTGTTGAACAGTATTATGCATGTCTTTCTATTGCAGATAGGTGACGTAGCATAGCTAACAAGGCAGTTTTCTCTCCCGAAGTCCAACTTACTTTTTACTTCTAGAGTAAAAAGAAGAGAGAGAATCAACACATTTTATTCTTATCCTATAGAAAATACTGGAAAAGAACCTTAAAGGGATAGCACCCAAAAAAATGGCAATTCACTCAGTAATATAACACCCTCATGTTGTTTTAAACCTTTATGACCTTCTTTTTTATTATTATTATGAGATCGTGATTATTATTGTATTATTATTATGCAGTCTTTCTTAATGAATTCTGATTATTCTGAATAATTCTGTTTATTTTCATCCATCTTATCTGTAAATAATGACTTAAATTAAGTGTGTTCCTCACACAAGTTATTGTATGAATTCAGTAGACTTAGAATATGACATACAGATGATATCGATGACTTTTATGATACTTCTGTGTTACTTTAAAGATTCTGTTATGTCTTTTTTTAAAGCTTGAACGAATGCAGATGAGTGCATAGATGGACTATTCCTTTAACCAGTGGTCTCTCTCTGTTTCTTCCACACCATTTCCCGCAAGGTGCTCCATGTCAGCTCATTTCCCTTATATCGATGGTAGTAAAAACCACACCTGTCTGTTCTGAACTGAGAACAGTTATGTAACTAGCAGAAGTAATTGAGCGTGCTGCTCTGGCCTCTGGACATTTGTGTCATTTGTCTTTCAGGTATCAGTGAATAAAGCTGACCAGTGAAGCAAGGGCTGCCCTCTTATAGTCTAAATAAGGCCTGAAATCAATACTCTATTTTTGTGAGTGGTATGTGTGTGCACTTATATCCACTATTTTCTTTACCTGTCTCTGATGCTGAGCCACAGTGGTTTCAGTGAGGGCTGAATTATGGTTATTTTTCGTTTGGATGCAATTCAGCTTCAAAGACATTTTAAGTTCAACGGAAGTAAATCCAGTCCCTAATACATATATTATATATTATATGTTATCTGTATTCTCTTCTCTCCTGATATTTTCCACACTATTTAAATCATTAATAGAATGCAAGAACTCATATCACATTATTCACTAACTGTCTCTATTCCTCAGAAACTTTCTCTATATTTCTCTGTATTTCCAAAAGCTCTTTTCCCCTCATCTTAGTTTCACATGCAGTCTGTCACACACATGTCCCATTTATTATGACATTTCTGGTGTTCATGAGATATTTGGCACAAGTGTGTGTACAGCGATATTCGGTTGGGTGCTGCTGGCCAATATAAATTGCGGTTGGTCTGACAATGATGTCAGAGGGAGGGAAATGATGTCATGCTGTCACAAAATCTGGATTTTGAGACCAAATGATTAATTGGTGATGTTTGTTTTTTTGTTTAATTTGCACAAACACATTTGGAATGTCAAACAAAAGGTCACTTTAGATCACTTTAGGTCACTTCCTTACTTAGCTTGAAATGTTACTCCTGAAAGAATTTTAAATGAGACTTTTATGATTTTTTTTTAACATATATACAGGTATATATATATATATATACATGTGTGTGTGTGTGTGTGTGTGTGTGTGTGTATATATATATATATATATATATATAGAATAATTATGTTCCGAAATGCTGATACATAAAACATATATAGTTCCAGCAATGCTAAAATGCACAATATATATTACAATATATATTTTCTCTTTTCAAAAACAGTAGGGCTGTGCCATATTGTGCATATATATTTTTACCTTTAATTATATTCATAATATTGCATAACTTACTGTTTAAGTAACAGATATGTTGACTAGGATCATATGGACACCCTGCACTACTAGAATAGAGGAAATAACTCTATTCATCTGCTGTGGCAGTGTGCTGAGCTCATCTAACTTGTGATTCATCTTTTTCAGGGTCTGTATGTGTTTTCCGTCTACTTCATCATGCATAATCAGCTCTTCTGGCCAGCTAAAGCAACCTACACCGTGGAGATGAACGGTGATGGCAGCCCAGACTCCATGTACCAGGGTACTGGTGCTGCTACTGTCGGTGGGGGAGAAATCAGCAAGTCCACACAGAACCTCATCAGTGCCATGGAAGAGGTGTGTCTGTTACTGAGGGTTTTGATAAATGTTTCTTATGAAGAGTTGTTGCACTTGCTTTATTTGGCAGTGGCATCTGACAGCATTTCATACCACACATGTACTTGTAAGATTACATTGGTAGCCTTTATGTGTGTTTGCATAACCACATATTTATCATTCTCAAGCCGAGGTAGAGGACTCTCAGACCTGTGTTTGTTCACCGATTCAGCTCATGCACACACAGACTGTAAAAGTGTTATGTAATAAAGAGGCCTGGTGTAGAAGCTCACATTCCTCTTGAGCCCTCAATGTAAACTATTCATAGATTCGGGAAAGAGGGTGCACGGGAGGTTAGGAGGGGAAACGTAGGACTGTGAAGTAAGCACAGGCTGCCTGGGAAAGATGGGCAGAGATCAAGAAAGGCTTTTAGAGGAGATATTTAGAAAGAAAATATCTCAGTTTCCTTCAGTCTGCAACTTTAATGCTGAGCTGTTCTCAAGACACTACACTTTATTAGTGAGACTTAAAAGTATACTATTGCCGAAGCTTTAAATTGAGTAGAATGTATATAGATTTATATATTTTTCAATCATGAATAGATATATGAATAGAACAGATATATAAGTGTATATATATATATATATATATATATATATATAAATACTCGCCAAGCGCCAAATGCGAGTAAAAATCGGCTTTGGTGGGTATATGAAACTGTGTCAGTCGCCTGATGGCCGGTAACATTTTTATAAATTCTAACAGTACAATGTTGTGAGAACATAAACGTGAACAAATGTGAACAACGCTCTGTACAATGTCAAAAATGCCCGTCTCTGTGAGTATCCTAGTAAAGTAGTTGAGACAGCTGAGAAAGAATCCGGACATGAACCGCGTGTGACGCAATGTGTCACAAGACAATAGAACCCATTATAATCAGTGATATTGTGCGCTGAGTGGGAAGTTTAAACATCCGAAACCCCGGCCTGAAAGCCGCGTCTTCAGCTCTGCTTCCTTCCTGCACTTGAACGGACAAATTCACACAAAATTGTCAAAAATGCCCGTCTCTGTGAGTATCCTAGTAAAGTAGTTGAGACAGCTGAGAAAGAATCCGGACATGAACCGCGTGTGACGCAATGTGTCACAAGACAATAGAACCCATTATAATCAGTGATATTGTCTACACAGGATGCGGCGTGGTGCGACACGACAAATCCTTGAAAGTAAACGGGTTCCCCATTCTATTTCTGAAATAGTCCAAGCAACGGCCGCTTTGTCGCATCCAGTGTTGACAACTTCAAGCTGCTGCGGTGTAGACACGGTGTTAAAGTGATAGACACAGAATTCCAATAATACTGCTGTTGTCTGCGTTTTTAATGTTGATCAAAGAAAATAGGACAAAGAAAAAAAACAATCACTCACTGCTCTTGAACTTTAAAAAAGATCTAAAGACTACACTCTAAAAAATGCTGGGTTGTTTCAACCCAGTATATATATGTATATGTATGTTAATGTATTTGGTCTTGGTGGACTGGTAGATCTGCTATGCCTGCCGCTACTGCCAATAGACACAGGGCCCTATCATACACCCGGCGCAATTGTTTTTTGCTAGTTTCAGTCCGACACAGTTATCATTTTCATGTCCAGTGCCACGTTGTTTAAATAGCAAATGCACTTGCGCCTGTCTGTTCACCCATGGGCGTGCTGGTCTAAAACGAGGTGTTCAGGTGCATTGTTGGCGTGTTGCTATTTTGAAGCAACTGAAAACGATTGCGCCATTGACCAACTAAAGACTGGTGTAAAGTCAATGATGCAGTATTTTTTAAATTTATTTAAAGGGCGCGTTAGTAATATGCGCCTATAGGCGGGTGGCCCAAGCGCGC